GTTACATAGCGAAAAATTCTTCTAATAATTTAATTTTATCTGACTCATTTATATTGACAATTCAGACATACATTATGCATTTTAAAGTAGACGACTTTAAAATGATATTGCCAATATTGTTGAGTTGCGCTCCTGGGACGACTTTACTTATAAGATAGTTCATTCGATTACATGAAATCAACTTTAACTGAGAATATCCGTCAGAAAAAAATCATAGCATGTAATTCGTCTTTAAAAGACAAACACATGACATGATGACAGTAAAAATTCTCCTGTTAGTGATTCCATAGTAAATTATGAGGGAAAAACCAGGAAAAAAACGTCATAATACTATCCCGACATTGTAAGTATTTGTTCGTGAATTTAGTTTACCTTCAACAAACATCAAAATTCTGATTTTATATGTTACTTTATTTAAAAAACATAAATGATGTATCCTCTATATGTTACTGACTTACTAATACTGGTATTTTCTTATTAATAACTTCCTCTTTCAATATTGGTAACCAGATCCTACTACATTCTGCCGAGGAATTTGCGACACAATTGGTCTCATTTAACATAATTAGTCTCATTTAACATAATTGGTCTCATTTAACATTAAAATTAGGTTTTTTTCCTGGTTTTTTCCCTCATAATTTACTATGGAATCACTAACAGGAGAATTTTACTGTCATCATGTCATGTGTTTGTCTTTTTAAAGACGAATTACATGCTATGATTTTTTTCACTATTTATAACTGGGAATAAGCCACAATTAAAGATAAAAATACGTTTATTGACGTTTCAATTTCCAATTCGGAAATCGTTCTTTTTCAAATTCAAAAAAATTTTGGAAATTGAAACGTCAATAAACGTATTTTTATCTTTAATTGTGGCTTATTCCCAGTTAAAAATAGTAATTAATTTACAATGCCACAAGAAAATAGCTTCAGAACAATATGATTTTTTTTTCTGACGGATATTTTCAAGTTAAAGTTGATTTCATGTAATCGAATGAACTATCTTATAAGTAAAGTCGTCCCAGGAGCCCAACTCAACAATATTGGCAATATCATTTTAAAGTCGTCTACTTTAAAATGCATAATGTATGTCTGAATTGTCAATATAAATGAGTCAGACAAAATTAAATTATTAGAAGAATTTTTCACTATGTAACAAAAAACAAAATTTGTTTATTTTACTGTTTGTATTTTGAGAAAGATTTCCGAAGTGGAAATTGAAACGTCAATAAACGTATTTTATCTTTAATTGTGGCTTATTCCCAGTTTAATAGTAATTAATTTACAATGCCACAAGAAAATAGCTTCAGAACAATATTCAAATGTAATCATGAATAGGACAGTAATGTCCACTCTGGGTAAATCAACCATCAAATCAAAGTAGGTGGAGGCTGTCCACAAGGAGAAGTTCTGTCCCCTCTACTTTGGGCAACCTTGGTAGATAATCTCCTCAGAAATCTGTCCACACAAGGCTTTTATTGTCTAGGATATGCTGACGATATAGCAATCGTTGTTAGGGGCAGGTTTGCTCAGGTGGTGTCTGAAAGAATGCAAGCAGCATAATGGGGATGGAACAAAATGACCCAGCTAGAAAAACGCTCCTTGATAGAGCCATTGGTCAGAGAAGAAGAGAAAGACCAAGAAGAAGGTTCCTTGATAACATCCACTTGATACCCACTTTCTTGTAGCCTTTCTTGTTACTGACTTTGCAACACCGCAAAAGGGTTCCGGTCAAATAAATGGCACTGATGAGCCTTGTTTGGCCATTTCATCTGCTTTTTCATTATCCTTATGACCCTCGTGCCCTAGTACCCAGGCTAACGTAACCTTGATATGGTCTCCTAGTTTATTTAGGGCACACACGCAATCCCATACTAGCTTAGAATTGACCTCTACAGAATTGAGTGCCTTAAGCGCTGCCTTATCTGTGAAGATAACAACTTAACAGAACGTTCTTTCCTGCCTTTCTATTTCTTCCACGCAGTGATGGATTACCGTTATTTCCACCTGGAAAACTGTCACATCCTTAGATAGACTTACCGGGAAATGTATCCCTTGATTTGTCCCTAGTATGCCGGCTTCCACACCCTTCGATATTGATGACGAAGTTGACGATTTGTGTTTACTGAGCATTGACTATCAGTCTCTTTTGGTTATACCAGTCTTAAACTATATTTAGGGCTGCCGCAGATACAGTACTGTAGACACATGCTACTCGCAACAGACTCGTTCTGTCTACTTTTGTCATGAGCCTCATATTAGGTATCTATATCTAAATATAATGAAAATTATTATTAATTATTGTTTATGTATACCATGGACGTATAAACACAGATGGACTCAGTTATTTACATAAAATTGTGAAGTCAAAATTATTTGAATAGGTCACATTCTCAGCACCTTCAACTGTTGCCACGTTCTGTTTTAAAATTTCTTATTCGCGAGTCGCTGAAAATATTACTCCGTATTTTATACTCTACAAGTGCTATCAAACCAAAATAATAATTTATTGGTTAGATTAATATATTTAATTGTAATCAAAATATAAAGTGCGCACATAGTGTACATTATCATTTAATAATAGCGTATAATAGATATCAATCAATTATTTTATATGTAGAAGCACTGAAAACTATTTATAAATGGCAACGGTTGTTTACATTTCTCTGTCTTATGGATCTACGTCAAACTTCAAATGCTGTTCCATGTTTGTTTACTTTTTAGTAAAAGTTGTTTTTGGATATTTTGGCTGTATTTTGAGTGATATTTGTGAAAAGTGAAATAAAATAAACGAAATATTTACATCCCGATCTCTCATTTCACTTATAAGTACATACAATTTACATTATTTAAGATGAGGAAATGAAGAAGCGTGTTTGTTTACATTTTAATAGGCGTACCATTGGGTTTATTCATGTTCATTAATGTATTAAATAAGATATAAGTTCATGAAATTAGTAGACATTTTAAAACTGTAAGTAGACATCATTTGATTAAAAACAATATCTATTTAGTACCTTTTGAATTTAATATTTCTCATGGATGCAAATAAATTAGTGAAATGAATAAAACTCATTTATTTTTCTATGTAGGTTTCCAAATAATATTGACGATCGAACTATTTGGGTAGCAAATTTTGGAGAAAACACAAAGATTTTTTATTGTAGCATTATTTTGATACCTTTTAAAAATTAACTTGAATTCAACTATATTTTATTGTATTAATTTTAAAGCAAATAAAATTGTATTTTAATTTTTCTATAAAGACGTGATTTGTTAATAGTTACACTTTCGTTTTTATAAATTCTTTGAACGTGTTTTTATACATTATTACTACTTCAAATTTTTAAAATCTGAATAATTACCCGCGAGTAAAAATTCAAGCACGCTTATGCACATTGCGGAAGCATCACATTCTATCGAAGATTCAAAACATTGTGTGTTAAAGGTATCTTATTGCTGTGTCCACCTATGTTTATACGTCCATGATGTATACCTACAATAATTATTATATTCTACATATTTAAAGTGGAAATTTAATTATTAAATTAGCGTTTCTAGCGTTTTGGATTTTTTGTATTGTGTGTGAAAGACAAGTTACATTTTCCTACCATTCTTTATATATTTTTTACTTTATATGCCCTGGGGGTGGGTTTCAATCCCCAAAATCCCCCTGAGTGCGCCACAGGCTTGAACTGTAACAGAAGAAGTAAGATATGAGTACTTGCGGCTAGAAATTCTTCGATCAACTTTAATAATTAGCTTGTTTGACACGACACTCCTTCAAATATTCGTCTTCGCTTGCTAAAATACTACACTCACCAATCCTAAGTTATCGTAGCAAGATATAAACAATGAAATAATATACTGAGCGAAAGGGGATCATTGTGCAGTCAGTCCAATCGGCATAAACAATGCACAGCGTTCTTGCTCAGTCATTTTTAAAATCTTTCCTCTAGCACACTAAATAATACACTAAATCAAAAAATACTAAAACTAAACTTCTAAAACGTCTTTTATTAAATTGATTTTTTATTCGAAGGTTCGAAGTCCAAGCAGTAGGAAAACCTAAACCAGAAGGTAAATGGCTCAAACATGGAGAAGAAATAATCCCTTCGCATGAATTTATGATAGAAAATTTCGAAGACGGAACGTCAATCTTAACCATTTCAGAAGTGTACCCTGACGATACCGGAGATATTGTATACGAAGCTACAAATCCACTTGGAGTTGCAGTAACAACTTCTCAACTACTTGTCGAAAGCGTTGAAGGTAAATATTATCAGTTTGATTAGAAGTTTACGATAAAAATAATATTTTTTCATTTCAGCAAAAAAGGCTTTAACCCTCTTCCTTAAATCCTTACCAATTTCACGCAGATTAACGCAACCAAAAATTACAATTCACATGTTCTACATCTACATTCTTGAAAGATGTCCAAAAATAGTACATTGTAATAATAAATATTGACAAGCAATGATTGTAAATACTATCAGTATAAACGATTGATTGTTCCAAACTTTTTATTATCTCATCACTAATTACATTCTTGATCATTAAAACATTTAATATAGGTATCTTTCCATGATATTTTTGGCGTCCATTCTTCTCCAAGTACTTTAATTTATTGTAGTTTTGATGCCTGTCCAAGAATTTCTCTACTAAACTAAAATTGTTAAATTTTTTAATAACTAAACTAAGGCATATATGCATGTTTGTAACATTTGAGTAGGTAATATTTACAAATGGCGAATGGTTATAAAACAGTTTTTAATGTGATAATATGGCAAGTAATACATCTTTTGAATTTAAAATGATTGCTTTAATTCATAAAAATTCATAAGAAAGATAGTACTTGTTCTTTAAATTTTGTTGAAAGCAGCAATATCTACAGATTGAACATAGTCTTCAAATTCTTGAATCTTCTCCACTAATTCATCAACATATACTTTCACATCTTCTACAACACACATAATTTGCAGTTTGTTGATACATATTCTACTGGCATGATTTTGATGTTCCCCAGACGAGATCATCTATTTCAATTGTTCTGGTTACTTTTTCTAATTCTTTTATGTCAGCCTCATCATCCCATGGTTTTACGTCAAGTACAATAGTAGATTTGGCAATTAATTCAGGTTTCTTGGACTTCTTTTCTGCGTAAGCTTCAAGTCTTTCAGAGGGCCTGTTTAAGTTCAGCAGCTGAGAAAGATTTGATGTGATTAAACCAACGTAAAACATGGAGTAAATTGGCAGCTGAAGCTTTTGAAATCTGATTTAAAGCGTTTTCATGAGGTTGGTTTAAGATATAGCCTCCAACATAACTTTTATCTTCTAGAAAGGAGTTGAGATGCTCAGACCTTTTTAGTTTTTAAAGCTCCAAAAGACATTCTTATTGTATATTTTATTGGGGATTTTGTACCTCCTTGAAAAATGTAAGAGAAACCTCTTCAAACGGACTTCATCTGGTAAAAGAGCTGTCGGCAGAGTTACCAGCTGAAGTCCGTTTGAAGAGGTTTACTCTCCGGACGCTGGAACTCACTTAAGGCATGGGTGTATGTTACCTAAAGTAAAATTTAATTAAATATTTAACATCAAATATTAATAACAACAATATGTACAATCTTTGTTAACCTTTATCAACCTTTATAACAATAGCTGTTTAACCTGAGTCATACTTATTAGATCTTTCTATATTGGTGTTGTTTTTGATTACCCTTAGCTCCAATTTCTTTATTTTGACGATTAGTATAGGTTTTTGTAGGACCTATATCTATTACATCAAGTAGTTCAAATTTACCTTGTATTAGATCAAGTAGTTCAAATTTACCTGGTATTAGATCAATTAGAGTAAGTTAAATCCTAAATTTTCAATCAATATGCTTGTTCAATATCTACTTATTGAGTTCTTAAGGTGTTTAATAATGTTAAATACTATTTTTCATGGACATCTTTCTCAGGTACCAGCCTAGAAATAGAGATTCTAATGTTTATATCATTTTAAACAGGTATTCTAGGTACCAAGGAGTATCGCAAGCCCGAATGGGTCACCCACATGGAAGAGCTGTCGGCAGCGTTAAAAGGTAATACAAAAAGTGGAACTAGCTTGCAGCATGCATTCTCTTCAGAGCTTTCAGCTGACAGTCTAGAAAATATTCCGAAGCAAGGTAAGGTAATAAGCAGAAATAATACTGCAGAAAACATTACAGGCAGTAAACCATTTTATCTCAAGACTTCAGTAACTGACGTATCACTGTCAAAGTCAGTATCGCATACTTCTGTACAAAGTGAGCCTACAACGACCAAACCTAAAACAAATACGGACTTTATTAGTGCGGCAATGAGTGACTATTTAAATTCTCATAGACATTCGCTAAGTTCGGTAATGGAACTAATAAACTCGACCAGTTTCTCCGACAAACAAGATAAAAGGTTTAACTTTGATTCTGAAGAATTTTTTGATGCAGAAGATACCACTTCGAATAAAGACATCATGGTGGATGAGGCTCATGCAGAACCTTTTTATATATTATCCCCAATTGAAGAAAAAAGTGAACCCTCGACAAGAAGTAGTAGTTTAAAAGGTAGTAACGGCTCAGATAAACGAAGATATACATACGATTCTTTAGGAAAACACTCTAGTTCTTGTAATGTGATATCTTCAGAGCCCATAGATGTTAAGTATTTACCAGAAAAGTACCAAACGTTTCCTAGAGTCAGCAAAGAAAGTTACCTAAAAGACGAAGAAGACTACGATACCGATAACAATCCTATGTATCCGCTAGAACCACGAGAAATAGATCCCAGTGCTTTCTTCCAACTGCACACAGCCGACAGTCAGGAAGAACTTCAGGAATTCCTACTATTGGAAAGTGAATGCATGGGGATAATGATAAAGGTTTAGCTTCTGCATTTTTAACTGCCAACGACTCGACTTTTGAAGATCCCAATTCTTCTAAAGGTAACTTCTAACCTATTTTGTGTGCCGCATACTAATTTTTTGTTGTTGTTTTTTTTTTCTGCATTTTGTTTAGACCAGTAAATCCACCCTCCAGCATGGCCAGACAATGAACATTTTAAAGACAGGTAAATACTAATAATGTTAATAATTCGATTTTTAAATACTTTATCAAAGTAGTGGTAAATGACACAGCAATGGAAAAACTCTTACCCCCACTTTTATTAGATTAGACTAGATATTAGAATTTTTCAGAGTAAATATAAGATTGAAACAGAGTTCTTTATTTCCGTTTTTTTAAAATATACATATAAAATATACGACAGAGATAACAACCAGATAATTATGGAATACGACACAGGACCACCAATCACTCAAGACGAAGTCAAAGCCGCAATTAAGGCAACCAAAGCAGGTAAAGCACCAGGGCCCGACAACTTTCATTTAGAATTTCTAAAAATCATGGGAGACGAAGGAGTAAAATGGCTTACGACAACGTTCAATAAAATCTATGACTTGGGAAAAATCCCAGAGAGCTGGTTAAAATCTGTATTTATTGCTATACCTAAAAAACCTAATGCAAAAAAATGCGAAATGCATCGTATTATCAGTCTAATAAGTACATTCTTAAGACCTTTTTAAAGATAATACATAGAAGACAATATAAGGTTGAATGTTCGAATAATTAAACTTTGATAGTATACAAGGCAACTATCGAACACAGTGATTAATTAAATCTTGCCCAAGTACTTTCGATCAATAGATCATCTTCAGGGGCATCTGAAATAAGCCAAGAAACGTTGTTTTATAAGAAGGAAAATTAATTCACTTGGATAAAAAACTCCAAGTTTATGGTTGAAAAAAGGTTTTTATGTGATAAACGTTTATAGACTTACTTCGTCAGTTGTGGCCTATCCGACATGAGTAGAATGTCATAAATGTAAATTTGGACATAACAATACAATACACAAAGACAAACAAACACTTTAAAATTTTTAAAAAGGAGAAGCTACATGTTATATAGAAACCGGAAACAGAATGGGCTCCCGGTCTAGCGGAAATGTTGAGATGACATGTGACAAATGACAGCTTGTAAAGGGAAGTTATGTGATCTGCACCTTTCAAAATTCTATGAAACTAAATATTGACCAAAGGTCCAACTGACACCACTATAGGAAATCAACTGATGAAATATAAAATTAGTATATTTTTATGTAGATTGAATAATCCAAATCTCACACTCAAACCTGTCTATAATAATTAGGATGTTAGTTTGAGAGCGATTGAAGTTGACATAAAGTATGAATGTAAGAAAAGACTAAACAATATATTAGACAGTGGATGGTTGACTACAATAAAATGGTCCACCAAGCGCTATCAGTACTGTAAAAAAGGAAAAATCTGAATATGCAGTTAAATTACTAAAAGTTAAAATCAAAATTGAAAGCAAATATAAATGGGTTATAATCCAAGTAGTTCAGTTGAATCCACAGTCAATGGAAGAACTTTAAAATTAATATTGAAATGCTCAGTGCATGAAGTCTAAACAGTCGAGCTGGGTCTTCTACGAGGTGAAGCTGTAATAAAGTTTTTAAATATAGGATTAAATTTAGTACAATTTAAATTAATTTGAGTATTAAGACAGTGAGAGTTTTCATTTGTTTCCCTTGTAATCTCCAAATCTTCCAATAAATCCAACTCAAGATAGTTTTTCTTTCTACTAATGTCATGTAAGATAGATGAACCAGAATTGATGTTAAAATTATGGTTGCTGGATACTAAGTGTTGACCAAAACTTGAAGAATTTGGTCTTTTCAAATGTTCGGAGACTCTAGTGGATATAAAGACAAAAATTATACCGGTGATAGCATATGGAGTGGCAATAATGCATCTTACGAAAAAATATGAAAAGAAAGTAAGAAGAATTAAAAGAAACATTCTGAGAAGGATAAACGACCCAATAAGAATATAAGGTAAAGAAGGTGAATATAACAAGGAGATTATACACCAGAGAGGGCACGTATATGGGAGAAAATTAAACAAATTTTCCTTTGCAGAGTGAACAGACTATGTAGAACCTATTTTTAATCACAGAACACAGAGATAACTAAGTATCTCTAAATTGCGTAACAACTACTAAAATATCTTCCACAAACAATTGTTTGTAATTTGTTTGATGGATACATTTAGAATTTAGTTAATGTGTAAAATATGTAGTTGTGATTTTTTGACCAAATACGTTTAAAAATCGAATATAGCATACTATATTGATTCATTTCCAGAATATTTTATAATAGAATTTTGATATTTAATTTGATTTTGAACTTATTTTTATCCCGATGCATTTTTGAGTATATGCCCTTCAGTATACCGAACTTTTAATTTTTTTTTCCGACTTCCATATGCGTTTAATTTTAATCGTTTGACTAAAAGAATCGTTGAAAATAATGTAAATAAAAAAAGGAATGAATACTGCGTGGTTATGAATACCTCAATGAATGAAAAATTATTTTTGTAGCATGCAATAACCTACGGCTTCTTTAATATTTTAGGCAATATATCTTGTTAGGCAATCTATATAGAGGCCTATAAAGCGCTGAACGGTCAAATAAAACGACTCTGCAAAAAGGACAAGAACACACACTTGAACAAAATCTGCATGGAAATAGAAGGGCATAAAACCAAGACTGAGACCAGAGACATGTTTAAAAAAATAAAGCAGATAACTCGTTCCTTTACACCAAACTACCTTGCTATCAAAGATGATAACGGAACTCTACTCACTTCTAAAAAAGATATTTTACACAGATGGAAAGAATACTGTGGACGACTGATGATGGAGGAAAGCACAGACGCCCCATCACAACAAGAAGATGCCAGTTTTGCGACTGAACCTGACGTACTCAAAAGTGAAGTTGAAGCAGCAATCATGAGGCAAAAAAGTCAGAAAGCTGCCGGTCCAGACAACATACCTATTGAAATAATTTGGGCCCTAGATGACGTTGGAGTGGATATAATACATCAAATTTGTCAAAGAGTGTGGGAGACAGGTAAATGGCCTGAGGACTGGACACAATCACTCTATATTCCCATACATAAAAAGGGAGCGAACGATTTATGTAGCAACTATCGCACAATTGCTCTAATTGCGCATTGCAGTAAGATACTCTTACACATAATTCTCGAGAGGATAAAGCCCTTTTTACTACCTAACATTGCGGAGGAACAAGCAGGTTTCGTCCCCGGACGTGGTACTAGAGAACAAATTTTAAACTTACGGCAGATTGTAGAAAAATCCAGAGAATTCAACATCACAACATATTTGTGCTTCATAGATTATAGTAAAGCTTTCGATTTGGTCAACTGGAGTAAAATGTGGCAGGTTTTGTCTAAAATGGGAGTCCCCAATCATCTGATACTGCTAATTAAAAG